ATTTTTTTTTTTTTTTTTTTTTTTTTTTTTTTTTTTTTTTTTTTTTTTTTTTTTTTTTTTTTTTTTTTTTTTTGGCTATATGGAAAACTTTCCAGTATATTTCTACAGGAGCTCCGAGAGTTAATTTTATTTTTTCCGGACCGGTAATGATTATATCTATATTCAATCAATAATCCCTAATTTATTTAATTCCGGTTATTTTTATAAAATTATTTACTTAATTCTATTATAATAAATATAATAGAATTACGATAAATATAATAGAATTTAAAATCTTATTAAAATTATAAAAATATTTCATTGGCATATAGTTAATATATAAAATTCATTACATGCAAATGAAAAAAGTAGCAACATTTTTAAAAAATATTTTTTTATAGTGAATAAATTATGAAAGGAATGTGCATTTTTAAGAAGTAAATATTTATTTCTCATCGAGCTTTTCAATTCAAATAAAACAACTAATATCAAAAACAAAGAATTATGTTTCTCTGATTCTCAAAGTTTCTCTTTTTGAAATTTATTTTCAACTAACGGATACACCAAGATTTCTTTCACTCTTTCTTTTTTCATTAGTATATTTACAGCTGCTAATGATCTTTTTTTTTTTATAATGCCGGGGTTCTGCCAAAATATGCTCCATCATTTAAGATTACGTAGTCAAAACAAAAACAAACAAACATAAAACAGAAATCGTCGAGCTAGACAATATCGATTGTTTGTTTACATTGGATGCAGAAGTCCGCACTTGAAAGCCAAGTCCAAGTACTTAAATCCGAAGACTTTTCCAATGATTTTTAAAATTTGTCCAAGAAATTGAATGATTCGCCGTCGCAACTAGGACTGGAAGATATGTATCGGAAAATATTGATTCTATGCAATCACCGCCGATCCGATGTTTGGATTGTCAATTTTTCGAAGCATCAGAAATTGTGATTGACTGAGATGCGTACGATATTTCCTGATGTATCGTTGACATCGATATCTACGCCCGTGATCTTGAGAAGTGTTAGCGATAGTATATCAATGTCTTCTAGCTCCCACGTAAAGCATTTTCCTCCGTAAGTGTGCAGTGAAAGCTGTGGCGATATTCCTCATCTTTCCCGATCTTTTTTACATCGTGACTCATCATTTTGCTGACATGATGAATCCGAATATGATTGAGAATCGAAGTGTTTTTGAATCTCTTAATTATGGAAGGGTTTTCTTTTAATTATGTGTATGCAAATCCTATTGTTTTTTTTTTTTTACAATCACTCCAGCCGTTTAATGATTTTTAACTGCTATTTTGTGGATAACCACGTCTTTAAATATTGAGAAACAGTTATAAAAAATGCAACGTTGATTTAAAAATAAATGCAACTTACTATCTGCGAATTTACACAGTACTGAATGTAAAACATTCTGTACAGAAACATCGCGATGCATCAAAATATCGCAATGTTAGTGTGACGATACATCGCTGTGTCAAAATCTTAACATCTACCAGTCCTAGTGTTTGTAATGTATTATATTACAGTAAGACCTCGATTATCCGAGCTAATTGGGACCGCTAGTACCTCGGATATCGGAAATCTCGGTTAATAGGAACCATATATAAAAACCTTCCGTGCTAGCGAATTTAACTACTTTTAAAGTAAAAAACAATAGAACGTTTTTTAAATGATAAAAATAAACATATATGAACTTATGTTTCACAGTTAAAAGGACTTAAAAAGGTAATCAGCTCTAGTAGTAAATTTTGAAAAGTAAAATGGATTATTTTTTTTAACTATACTTAGTTAAATATCGAAAGACGCATTTTCAAAAATAACACAAATCTCAAGAAAATATTGTATTTTTAAAATTTACATGATTAAACTTACAAGTCACATGACCACTGTTAACAAAGCATTCATGGATGTTTTCTTCTCAGGGTGTAATATTTCATGGAAGTTGAGTGCTTTTGTGGGGAATAAGTGCCTGTAACACGGACAACGAACTAATATGTGTATAATTTCTTACAAGCTCATTTTGGAGAGGAGAAAAAAAATTTGGACTTCGTTATTGCCTCGGTTAACAGAAACCTCGGTTAATCGAAGCTCGGTTAATCGAGGTTCTACTGTATTTGTTTTTTTAAGGAGCTTACCTACTCATATTCACTCTCTGTGTGGGAGATGCCTAAATTTGAACTTAATGGCTTTTAGTTTTGTCACTATTCTTCTTGGTGATGCCAAAAATTATCAAAAATTTTAAAAATGCATTTTGAAGATAAAATTATATTTAAATCTATTTCCTTTTTTTTAAATCAGTAAATTAATAAACAGCTTTTTTAGTATATTTTAAAATAACTAAATAATTTTATTAATTTAAGTAGTTCACATACTAATTTTTATATAATAATATTCGTAATTCTTATCAGTTATCTTAATAATTTATTCATCAAAATTAATAAATCTGATTTCTGTTTAAGTTTGTTTTAAGATGCAAAGGAGTGTGCAATCATGTTGTTTATGTTTTATTTGTATCTCATTTATTCAAATTTTGAATGCTTAAAAAAAATTTATTTCTTTGTGTTTAGAAATCTCTTTAATCTCTATGTTTCAATCATTAATTTTAATATGACATCAGCAGAGTTTAAGCTAGTAATAATATAAATTTACTCAAAAATAATTTAAATATAATTTAAATAAAATTTAAATAAAGTTGTGTGTTTACAGAGCAGCAATTCACCAGGGGACACACTGTCTGTAAACAGACAGGAGCCTTTCTGTTCTTAGTGGCAAAGCCAAAACTAACAGTGCCCCGAGGCCCCTAATGAAAATACAAGCATCTATTATATATAATTCTCTTACGTGGCTCCCAAATTTTGGCTGTATTTCTTTTCCGCCGATGGCAACGTTTGCTTTGTTTTGAAAACACCAAAGCATTCTGCCTTTTAATGATGTGTTTCTGATCTAATATATATAATTCTCTTACGTGGCTCCCAAATTTTGGCTGAAGTACTTTGTACAACTAAATAAGATTCTTTTCACAACAGTTAAATATTTACTTTATTTTCTTCATTCATAGAGAAAACAGTCGGCAAAGAATTCTGTTAGGTTAAAAAACATTTCGCTAAAAAAATAACGAATTCTAAAAGAAATAAAAATAAACAACTTAAAAAATAAAAATGCTGTTGCCAGCCATAGAATTTTTTGAAAGTTAACTTAGCAACATAAATCAAAATGACATAGAAGCGCAACTAGATCAAAATTATGATACCTGAGCGCTTGACGTAACAAATCCTTCAATTCTAAAAGTGTTGTATCGCCAAATGCCCAAATTAACAATTGTGTTCTTAAAGAAATTCTATAAAAAGTTTTAAATAAACAACCTACTTCTACAACTGCTTCTTGAAGAACTTGGCTCATTGATTAAAAATATTGTTTTAATTTTACAGTACTAACTTTACTTCTACTTTCATTATTGCTATGACCCTCTTTCATTACATTTTACAACTTCATGCTAAATTTGAGGACTTTAAGTTGTTTTGTGGTTGAATACTGACATTTAGAAATGTGTACATAAAAAAAATAATATTTAGAGGTTAAGAGTTGCCTCAGAAAAATTTGAATTGTTGACATTGAACTTAACAATGGAAACAATCGTTTTTGTGAAAAATTGAATTGTATTGTTGACATCAAAACTAAAAATATTGTGTTTCAACTTAACAATACTACCTTAATTTATACTTTAGAATTGCCTCGGAGAAATTTGAATTGTTAGCAATGACTTAAACAAAAAGTTTTATTTTAACTGACAAATACTATATTATAATTTTAACTTTTTCTATGACTATACTCATTTTCTTACTCTTTTCTTTGTTTTTTATACATTTTATATTTTTGTGATAAAATAAAAAACTTATAGTTGTTCTGCTTCTGAACACTGATGAAAACACAAAATGATGGGCTTCATCAACAATCAAAAATATATACATTTATTTTACAAATTCCATATTATTAAGGTAGCACCCTTCAGAGAATTAAAAATACAAAATTACCTTTTTCAAAGCCGATGCTTTACACCCGGCTTTCGGTGGCAGACTACTATTTCATATTGTTTTACAACACATGGCTTTAGCCCTCTGGTGGGAAAGACTTTGTTTTCGGAACTTCAGTATTCAGAAAAGTATACAAAAACTAGACGTTAAGAACGTATCCAATGAGCGAGCAAAGCGAGCATTGGATTGCGAAGCAATCCGAAATGAACTGCGAAAGCAGTTCCGGGGGTTGGTGAGCGCCAGCGAGCAGGGGGCGAAGCCTCCTAGTGAAGAATAATACTAATAATAATTACCACATTAAATAAATATTTACCATTATAACATTCATATTAATTTGAAATATAATCACCTTTACTGAAACAAATATACAAAACACTTAGAAGACATCAAAAAAAGAAAAAAAAAAAAAACCTGCCCCCAAAGCACATATAAATATTCAAAACAGTTACAGTTAGTAAAAGTGAAAAAGAAATTCCTTATATATTCCAAATCAGCTCAAAAATAGTGTGGTGACACCTAGATAAAAATAAACAAATTAAAGAGCAATAGAATCCAAGTGCTGCCATCTGTCTAAAAAATCCCAACAAAATATTTTGAAAAAAAAAAAACATAATCCAAATAAATTTTTGTAAATGTAAACAAAATCCCAGAGTGGCCCAAATGGCCTTCTGCTTAAGTGGAATCCTTTGAAATTAAAGTTTATTAAAAATTTGTGTTAGATTAAATAAAATTTTTTCTGAATATTTGCAAAAGAATTTTTTTTAAAATCAGTTTAGTATTGTTTTTTCGATGACTGAAACTAAAAAGATGAAAAATCGTCGTCATGCATTCCCCAGAAATTTAATAAAAAGTTTGCATTTAAAACAAAATAGCTGGAAATGTATGAAAATTTTTGCAACAAAATTTGACTTTATTATACTTAAGTAGTTCAAATTATATTATATTTTTTTAAATTTAACATTTGTACTTTTTAAAAATAGTTTGTTATATGTATACAGTTTCAAAAAATGTCTTGATTTTTTTTTTTTGGCCAACTATGAGGTTTGTTCTTGCAATGAATATAAAATTCAAACGTATCTTGTAAAGTTGTGTTGAAAAATTGTTTTATTTTTTTCCGTGAAATAAAATTTAATTTATAATCAATAGATGCTACCAGACAGAATTAGAGTTATCAAATTAAACTGAATACGATATCCTGGGCACTAATTTGTGTCCCACTAAGATATATTAACCCTCAGTACGCCAGATGGCATTAAAACCTGGAAAGACCTCCACTCAGATGGTTTAATTACATTGAAAAGTGATTTTAAGTGGGGGAAAAAACAAGCATCCAACATAAACGGTTGGAAGAAATTCATTGGGGTTTCTCTAGGTTGTTGTGGGCTGTAGTGCAAAGTAGATGATAAGAATAAAATATATTTTAAATTTTTATTATTTGCTTACTTGTTTACTATCTAATATCTTATATATTTGCTATCTTATTTTCATCTATATTTATTATAGATAAATTGAGAAGAATCTGAGGTATTTCCTGCTTTTTTCAGGTGTTTCTTCTTGAGTGTCAACAGAGTAGTGTAATTGTGAAACCCCACTGTGCTGCAGATGATGATCGGTCTTATACCTTTTTACTTTTTCCTCCTGGTTACACTCAAAANCACGGCTAGCCTGACGGCAAGTGGGTTCTAACCCATGATCCGTCTACCATTAAGTATATTTTTACGCCAGTACTATGGTCGGTGCAATTTGATATCGGGCTTTGAATCGACCAGCCATTTCTGGGATTCGAGCCCGGTTCACCTCATTGGAAGTGAACGCTCTATCCCCTGAGCCACCACGACTTGCACTAACCAATTATCACATTTTATGTCTCCCCATCGAACTAACCATTAAGATTGAATCCTAGAATGTAAAAATCCGATCATTACATAATTAAAGTTTTTTTCCCCTCACTGTATGTTTCCTACTTACATTTCAGGAGTAATGCCTCATGTGATGTTTAAACAGCCTGTTCTTTTGGCGACGCCTGTTCTTTTCACATTATTTTTTCTATCATGGTAGAGAATCCCAATTTCAATATCCGTAAGAAGCATCCTCATGTTAAATCTGCAATAGAAAAGAAATGTTATGGGTATCGTTTATCGGTTGAATTATTTTTCATTATTTTATGCAATATAGACAATTTATTAACCAAGAAATAAATAAGTATTTCATACATTCTAGTGTAATCATACTGAATAAAGAGGAACTTTTTGTTATGATAAATACAAAAAGCCGGAATAGCCTGGTTGGTAGGGCAATGAGCCCATGTCGTGGTTTCGATCCTCGTCGACTGAAGACTCTCCGTGTAGTAAATGGTGACTGATGCACGTTAAATCTGTCTGGTCACAAAGTCCTCCATGTTCCCATAACTTAATACCTCTTTGGGTAGGAATTGGAGATTGATCATTCTCTAGTTCGGATCAAAATTATGATCTGTGGATGTATGAATGGGTCCACCCTATAAATAGGTGGGACAGAAGTTGAATTCTTATCCATAGATGGCGCCACTGGAAAACGAAAACAATCGCACTCCCACTGCCTTAATGACCTACGACAACAGCAACAATGTGTTGTATTAATGAAATAACATTAAAAGCATTTTGTTAAGTATTGAATATTGCATGGTAGTAGTTGACCTTATGTAACAAAATTATACTGATTTAAGTTTTCCTTGAATCAAAAAAGTTTTTCTCTATATTTCTTTTATTATGTGATTGGATCTCACCAATGGCTGCTCTAACATAAAAAATATCGCTTATTTCTTATACATCTTTAAAGCTACTAGAATTTTACCATAATCTTGGCTTTACCATAATCGTGGTTTGGTATAGACTCACCTTCTATGAAATATACATGACAATTAGAAATTCTAAGTAATGTGATTTTTTTATTTCCAATCTCTTCTCTTGTCTTTCAATTTACTTTCTGGAATTTAAGTTCAATCAAAGTAAAAATTGATTTAAGCAAACTTTAAGAAAAAACTTTAAACTAATAAGTCAAAATGGAAAAGTGCAAAAAGCAGCTAAAACCAAATTTGTCTTATGTAAGCAATTTAAATAAAGAGTTAGAAAGCAAAAACGAAATTCTGAAGATATGTATGTTAGCAAAAACAGCACTTCATCAGAGGACACACTGTCTGCTAACATACCTGCTAGTCAGCCTTTCTGTATTGTGTCCCCTGATGAAGTGCTTTTTTTGGTTTCTAACTTTTTGTTTAAATTGTTGTGGATCAAGCTTTGTTTTTTCATTTACTTTAATTCCAGAAAAAAGAACGAAAATTCTTGGACAAGAGTTTATTGAGGGTTGCCTGTTCTCTTCTAGAAGACTTTTTTAACATTAAATTGATAGGATACAAATTCAAGGGCATTTAAAAATGTAATCATAAAATAACAAGTACAAGTAAGAATGTGAGGATGCTATGGAAGTAGTTTCACTTAGAATATCCACTGCATAACTAAATTGATATGTTTACTTAACCCTCTTGTGGTTAGTCACAACTGCTTTCAAACTTTTAGTCCATTGCTGTCATTATATAATGCAATTTTCTTCTTTTCTATTACTGCTTGGGACATGTGAAATTTGCTTGTAGCTTATCTCATTTCTATTATGATTGTCAAATGTTTAAAATGGAAAGTTTGAAAATGACACTTAAAATTTACCACTTGTGAAAACATGAGAATTTATTCTCTTTAAATTATTAATTTTAAGGAAATTTTAAACTGGCTTTTTTATAATAAATTGAACTACGGCAATAGTTTGTAATTTGTGAAAATTTTAGAAGTTTTATTTTACCATAGTTATTAATGTATGTGGAATTTAACCTTGTGAGCCAACAATCTTAACTTTTCAAGTATTAAATTTCTGGTTAAGTTTGTATGAAATTTTTCCCTCAATGCACAACTTTCCTGCTGAATAACATAACTACATAATATAGCATAACATATTATTAAAAGCAAATTTACGGCAGGAAGTTTTGGGTAAAATGTTTAAAATGTTAAATGTTGAAAAAATTTTTTTAAAAATTTTTTATCCCTCCTACTACATTTTATTTTTATTTTCTCATAATGTTAATTAGAGCTATGTTTGGTATAAAAAGGACATAAAACCTCAAAACCCACAATAGTCTATTCTATCTATTGTTGAATTGGCTGAAACTGTATTCTCATTTTAATTGCAGCTACTTAGTTAATTATATTGTGATTTCAAATTATTGCATTTTTAAAATTTCTTATCTTTTTGTAAAAATGAAATATTTGACTATTTAAGGTTGATTTGCTTGATTAAGAAAAGTCATGATTTAAAGTTTTCTTGCTTTGATACTGTATTGTGTGTGTGCATATATATATATATATAATTTTATAGAATTAGTATTAGATGTTATATGGTAATAACATCTTTAAGGATATTATATAGATAGGTAATAAGATGTAGATAGTATATTTATTTCTGTTAAAAACATTTTGATTTTGTGAAATTATTTTAAAAATAAAAAATCTAAGTTTAAACAGCTGCCTTTTCATTTATTATTATTTTTTTTATACATTTTAATATATTTTTGTTATGATTTAAACTATTTACTAAAGTAGGTTTTTTAGATTTTGTTCAGAAATGTTTCTCAAACTTATTTCTGTTTTTATTTCAGAGTTCCATTCTGTAGTTTAGTTGTGGGTTTGCTCTCTCATCAGATTTTACTTCAAACGTTGGGTTCCATTCTTTTACAAGGTACAAAATATATGCTGCCCACATTATTGTCTTTGCTTCCTTCTGAAAGTTGCATACTTTCACCCGCAAATGGAAAAAAGAAACCAGGTACAAATTTTTATGAATTAATATTCCTCTGCTAATTTTGAAAATAAAGAAGATAGTAAATTTTTCTGTTATTTATTAATTGAAGAATAATATTTTGTTTGAAGATTGCTGCTGCTATAAACAATATCAACCTGTTAATCGTTTAAATACCATGTTCAGAAAGGGTAAATCTAATTACTTAAAATTCGATGAATTCACTCCGAAAGAGCTCTTGGAGGACGCCATATCGTGGAAGAAAATTTTGGTCTCAAATTCTCTTTCTCCTTCATTACTAATTTCAGATTTAAAAAAAGAAAAGAAAAAGTAACTTCAGGCAAAATTGGAGTAAGTNTGACTTTTTTTCTTTCTTTCTTTGTTTTTTGGATTTCCTCTTTTTTACTTTCTGACTACTCTCATCCCTGGAAAGAGCTCTTGGAGGACGCCATATCGTGGAAGAAAATTTTCGTCTCAAATTCTCTTTCTCCTTCATTACTAATTTCAGATTTAAAAAAAGAAAAGAAAAAGTAACTTCAGGCAAAATTGGAGTAAGTCATAAAGTTTCGATTGCTGAAAAAAATACTTCAAAATATTAAAATGCAAACAAATTATTAGAAGAGAACTTCTCCGTTGCGTAATCCAAAGTTATGATCTCATAATTTATTTTCATTTGTACATTTTAAAATTTTCTTTTCAGAATTTGAAACTTCATTGCTTTCTCTAGATTTGTCTGAACTCACTTTTTCTAACACTTTAAATTTTAAATTAGTAGCAAAGTAGAAAGACAATTGGAGAGAAAAATTTTCCTCCACTGTATGGTGTCCTCTTAAAGGCATTCTTGGTCATGTTCATTGTTTGTAAACATTGGTGTTTGATATGAGAATTTTTTACTGAGATTGGTCAAGATTGCTTCAGCTGTGTTCTAGTACGTACCTTTGGTCGGAACAAAATGGTATCCAATGAAAATATCATCTTGAGAAATATATTAATAGTTTTAAACCTTTTTTAGAGCATAAAATGATTATATATCAACAAGATATTCTACGCATTCTCCAAGAAAGGTTTTTAAAATACATCCAGGGGAACACAATCTGTGCGTTCATGACATTTTTACAAAATAGTTTCCGGTTTTATAAATTCTGTTGACTCATCAGATTTCACTTTCTTAATCGACTTTATTATTGAGCTTTCACTTTTTGGGTTTTTATATGCTCTTGACCCTAAAATTTGATTTAAGTTAATAGCCCACTTTATTGCTTCATAAATAGCCTTATACTTAATAGATAAACTAAAATATTGTAATTTTTATTGTATTAAGTAATATATCATAATTTGTTGGTAAAATGATATTTCTTATTTCCAATGCCCACCTGTGTTAACATTTCGTCAATTCAGGCATTTGCAGGGCAGATTTGTTGGCCACTCTTTCAGGGGCACCCTGTTAGGTTAGCCAACGTTGCTCCCACAGTACGGATGGATAGCACAGAGAGAATGACAGAACATCCATGCCTTGCCCGGGATTTGAACCTAGAACCTTTCGTCCCGCAGTGGACTGATCGTTAAGACACGGTTCTCAGCAGATCACCGAAGTCAAGCATCACTGGCTACGGTCAGTGTGCGGGTGGGTGACCACTTGGATCAGTCTGCGTAGGGACCGAGGGTGTGCGGTATTGGTCCTCGTTAAACTGTGCTACCGTAAAGTGCTCGACTTCGGCGTGCAGGTCGTCGGGCTACCGAAGCAGGGGTGCCATCCCCTCCGCAGAGGATCAAAATTGTGATGGCATGTCTTCGGATCATCCTCCGGGATGTTTCCCAGACCGTCGCCAATAGCCCATTGTGCAGCTCTAGTGCGACGTAAATTAACCACAACAACAACCTAGAACCTTTCTGATACAAGGCCAGTTTCCTGACCCCTACACAGTCCGGTCGGCTGTGTTGATGAAATATAAAAGTTTTTTTTTTCAGTTCTTTTTTCTCCATTCCTTGCAAGTGTGACCTCACTCCTATGCTTTGGATTCTTACATGTTATCTATGCCTTAAATATTATTTTCTTATACTAAACCTATGTCTTCCATTATGATATAAAGTTGCAATACTTAAAGTATAAATATATAATATAACAATGGAATATTTAGAGCAGGAATATGCCCTAAATGTTTGGTTTTATATTATATCTATACTTTAAGTATTGCATTCTTGTATTTATATCTTAAATATTTTATTCTTATATTATACCTATTCCCTAAATTCTCATTTTATGTTACTTTTTGTGCTTTAAATGTTGCATTCTTTTTTTTTTGTATCTAAGCATTAAATATTCCATTTTTATATTGTATGTAAGTCTTAAATGTTCCATTTTTATATTATACCTAAGCTTTAAATATTTAATTTTTATATACTATACCTGTAGTTTAAATTTTACATTCTTATACTATAATATATCTTAAATATATTCATCTGCAGCATATTGTATCCTAAATGTATTCATAATGCACCCCTGTGTACAGCAAATAATGAAGCCACTTTTTATTTCTAGGTTTCTTATCAAGGTTGACCAACAAGCAATTGAAAATTTTATTTAGTTCACTCGAAGATGCCTACGAAACAGCTTTCAATTTTGATAGGAGACCTGGTTTGAAATTTTTAGTACAGAAAGTGGCCCAGACAAATGTAGCTACGAACTTATATAAACAAGCTGGAATTAGTTGGACCATTCAAATGGTCGTCCTTTTTGAAATGTGTATGTCCGTGTCTAATTTAAACTTGGAGTTTGTCAAGGGAAAGCTCATTTCCGAATCTCGTGAAGAAATCATCTCTGAGAAAGGCAAGTACAATTTTTTTTAAATGACAAAGTTTAATAAATATGTCATTGAAACTAATTACAGTCGTACCTCATTAGCACGAAATCGATTAACGTGAAATGTAACTTTAGATGAAACACATGGTCCCAAAAGGCAGCAATAAAGTATGACTTTTTACATGTTTAGCGTTAAATTTTCAAACCGGTTATTCCTTAACATGAAAGGAAACCGGATACAGCACAGATAATAAGCATGTGAACAAAATGCCACTCATTCATTTTAAGGAATGCTATTTCTATTTTCTTCCTTTTGTTAGAAGTAGTAGATAGGCAAATAAATAAAATAGTAAAAATGAAATAGTTTAATATTGTATTTAAAACTTTTAATTTTATTTTAGTTTGTTTGGCTCATAGTAATATTGTTTGCATAGCAAACTATATTATTATTGTTTGTTAGCATCAGGAATTTTTTTCCCTCAAAACAAAATAAATTTTTTTTTAAAATTTTTGAGCATTAGACACGGGAGTCTTCTAGTTTCAAAAATGGTCAAAAAGAGCATTATAACCGCTACAAGAATAGCATTTGTGATGGGACCGTTAAAGGAAAGACTATGCATATAGTTAAACCAAAAATGCGGGAATGATGGATCAAAATTAAACTGTATTAAGTTTTTAAGACAATTCTTTAGGGAATTTGAATTCTTTAGGTAAGCATAAGTCACATGACCCTTAGATCAGTGACTACGGAGGTATCTCTATAATTTTGGGGACGGCGGCTCTCGCCCCTCCCTGTATATGTGTGTGTACTTATATATTAAATATACATATATTAAATATATATGTATCTCATTTTACAATATTTAGTTTTATTCACTTTTGTTTCACTTTTTTTTAAAAATCTATCTCATTCTGCCCTATGTGACATGAAATCAAGAATTTTCCTAAATGGGGCAAAAATTGGGATTTCCTTTGCTGGAGTAAAGGGATTATTTGGTAGCAGTTTTCACAAAGGAAATGTTAAAGCTCACTTCAATTAGAGACATTTTTTTTTTGATTCAGTCACAAAAGAAATATCTGTTTTTTTTTTTTTAAATTATAAATTAAATGACACGAATAGTGAGTGAAAAGGTGTCATTTTAGAAGGGGCTGTGTCACCTTCTTTTATTAAAAAGTCATCATTCCGACTCTGTCATCGTTCCACAGTCCCTGCTTAACATGTCACCATTTTTTTTTTGCATTAGACGTAGTTCACAGTACAGTTTGATTCACTTAAAGTGCATTGTTGCTTTGTACAGAATAGCCAATCTTGACTGTTGTGCCATTAACATCTGCATTTAATGTAATACACCCAAAAGTGCAGGAATACTGCATTATACTGGAAGTTTTAGCTTTAATTAAAATATAGTGTTTCGGTGTAATTATTCATGTCATGTATAGTTGCCTTGGTTTTTTTTTCTATTTCATCTCTCACATTTATTGAAGAATTAAGAGCCATTCTTTGTCTTATAATTCTATTTTATGAAAAAGAGATTCTGTGATATATAGGTTATATTCTTTCATAATAAATCTGTTATTTTTCAACAAACATAAAAATTGTTGTTATCATTTTCAGAAAATACCACAGATGGAGAATTGAAAGACTCATTCCCAACAGATCCTAGCATATTAGAATTTGTACTGCTAAAAGTCAAGTTTAAAGAAATATGTGAAACCTACACTGAATTGACCATCGACAAGGAAGGTTTGCCAAACATAGTAGATCGTCTTAGTGATCAGCACATATTCTTCCTCCTAGCTGCCCCAACTGACGATAGTGATATTTTGTTTCCTTCGAAGCAAAATGACCTTCAAACGTCATTGACTGACAGCAGCAGTGAATTGCCCCCAATTCAGTACTGTGACAGTTCAGACGAAGAGGAAGTAGCAACTTCCAAAGAAGGGATGAAAGATAAAATCTATACCCTAGCGACTGAAAGCACCATAAACTCTTTAGTGAGCGAGTACAAGAAACGTAAAAACCAACATTCCATGCCTTCTAAAGTCAAAGAAAAGTTGTCCAGGAAGTCAAGTTCAAGTAATAAGCAGCGAACTTCGTCTTCTGATTCAGTGCCAGAGGAAATTCTGAATCAAAGGCGAAATTCCATTATTAAGGTTAGAACAAGTAGTTTGAGATGATAATGATAATAATAATAAAATTTTTAAAGGCTACCTTTTTTAAGTGGAGGTGGAAAGGAAATAATTTTACTTTTGTCAGATTTAAAACAAAAACGTGATGCATATCACTTAAGAAAAAGCTTTTATCACCACTAAAACATCACCCTGTCTTTCTAAAGAGATGCACTTTGCAATTTTCATTTTAAGTACATAAATAGAATTCTTTTTTCCTTTTCTTTTACTAAAAAAGCATAGCGTTTAAAGCTCCTATTTTATTCTTTTCTTCATTTCAGTGTTCATATGTTTTGTTGTTTATATAAAAGTAATGGCGGATGTATATGTGTGTTCACTCAACATGTAGTGCAACTATATTAATACTACTTTTGATGTTAAAATCAACTTAATTATAAAATGGCTATAAACTCTGTATGCAGTAGTTTGGAAATGACTGAAGTTCGCATTGTCATCAGTCACAGAGATTAAAGTGTGAAATTAGCTCTCTAGCTAGTTAGCAAGTGGTTAAAATTTTGATTAACATTAAGGCACTAGCTACAGTAGAGTTTTGGGCACTCTAGCTACTTGGAAAGTGGTTTAAAACTTTGATGATGGAATTCATTATCTCAGATACAAATATGAATTAATTAAAGTGTAGTTAAAATTTTTTCTCACAGATTCTTTTAGTGTCATATAATTCTTAGTTTATATATATTTTTTTAAGGAAAATTAAATTTGTAAGAGACATTTATTTTCTAATTTGAATTAAAATAGGTATTGGATATTGTTTATTTGGTATTTTGAAATCATTGAATATGAAAACAAGTTAAGTAACACAAGCTTATTAATACATTACGATACATAAAAGAGAGAGAAAAATTTAAAATTTGAATTCAAAATCTATCAAATTAAGAAAAAAATTAAATTAAGAAAAAAACAATTACTTAATTGTTCCAATAAAAAGAACCATTGATATATTGTATTACTTCTGAAAGGAGAAGTATGATTTGATATTGACAAGGGAAGAAGAGTCGGACCATAGATATCAATTTATGTTTGTAATCACGTTTATATTGTTCAGAATATGTGTTAAATTCTATTATATAAAGTTTTTATTAAAATTTAACAAGCATTTATGTTTTTTTAACACCTGTTAAATTTTACTATATTTTAATTTTATTACATTACACAATTTCTAAGGTTTCTGTAATTGTTATGGTTCTTTTGCTTTTTCTAGGATGGAGAGGCACAACTTCAAGTTTTCAAACAGTTGATCCAATCATTTTTAGACCTACATCGATCTCTTTCTGAAGAACACTTTAAAGCTTTTCTACCAGTATTCTTTCCCGGAGTGCAATTTTTGGTTGCATATGCTACTGACGGAGAACTGAGATTATCCCTATCTGAATGGCTGCAGCAGATGGCAGTTTGTTGTAATTTCTTTGTTGATTCTTATTCTAGGAAATAAATCTGTATCAGTTATGTCAGACTTTTATGTCATGCTGCAAGTTTAATTCAAAGTAAAAAGGAAATAATATTTTTTCTGGTCTAACAAGTCAACTCTATACATCTCTTTAAACCTTCTACGCATCCATGTTTAAGTTAATTTTAATTCAAAAATTATTTTGTCGAGCTGAATAAAATGCTTTCTTTTAGAAATATAAAAAAAACAAAAATATTCTTATAACTCTGCAATGAGAAAATTTTCATGTTTCAAAATGGCTTGAGTCTGATAGACCTATATCTGTAGTAAATATAGTTAACTATATCCATACTTAGATCATTCAGATCTAATTTGCTTCTCTTAGTTTCTCTTTCTTTATATCATACATACATGAATGCAATACAATAGCAATTTCATAGCTGCCAACTCGACTGGATTATACACTGGATTTTGCCAGTTTTTCCTGGTCTACTGTTTCAATAATAATTCTCCGGGTTTTTGTACATTTTAGAAAATTCCCTAAAATTGAGTAAGTTTCCCAAAAAAATCTCTATTGAAATAAAATTTTTGAGCAGATTATTGTTTGCTTGAATATTTAAATAAGTGTCACTAATATGTAATAAAGCAAGCCTCATCTATGTTTGATGAATTAAATGCCTATTACTATTCAAAATTATGAATAAGCATAATGCATAACATTTCAAGTTCATTTAATGTGAAATCATAGCTGGAAAATATTGCAGTTGATGATTTTAAAAATCCCTAAAATTCTCTCTATATAAAATATTTAGTATATTTTGCGACAATTATTGTGAAATTTGTATTTCATGAAGTCTATTGGATTTTTTTTCCTATCCATGTTGGCAGCTATGCAGTTTGCTAATTAAATATCCGTCTCATTAAATTATCCTTGCAGTTTAAAAAAATACCTTAGACCAATTCAAATGTATATTTTTAAAAAAAATTGTGTTTCTTTTTGCTTGCTAGGCAGAGGAAAAACAATTTCTAAATAGAAGTAATGTTTTTGTTTGTTTGTATACAAGGGGAGTTCTATACAAGTAAAAAAAAAATTTGCTATTCTTTACATGTATTTGAATTATTCTTACAACTGTATTCAGCTCCAAATAGAGCAAGTAAAATTACCTTTAGTCGGTATATCATAATATTTTACTTGGCAGCAATAGCGTTTTTAAAATTAAGTGATAAGTAATTTGCTACTTTTTACTAATTTCTTTAGGGTTTAAAGGTGTTCATGCTCAACTTTATAGCGCATATCATATGGAAAACTGAAAAGTTATGTTTGCAAATTATATTTGTCATTTTCTTCAACCATTCTGTGATATTAATATGGATTCTTATTTTCTGAAAAAATGTTATTTTATTTAGAACATATCTTTTAGATCTCTGAATGTCCCAAAAATGACCATATAATTTGAAATTTTTTTTAAATGAAAAATAGCGATAGAAATGCACGGTTTGCTAAATTCTGCATAGGAAGCTAATTTTTATCCCATCAAATTTCAAAATTAGTTTAGAATTTATTAACTGAGGATGTTGCTGGCATGAATAATTATAAAATAGTATTTTCTATTTCAACAAAATATTTGCATAAGGTTAACTGAGTCTGTTATTTTTTACCCCTGAATATACCGCTTCGTGGTTGTAAATTATGAGTATTCTGAACACATTCTTTTGTAATTTTTTTTTCAGTTGGTGAACATTGCAACTGATTTTATGACTTGTTTTCATTAAGTTTTCAGAATTCTGAAAATACTGCATTTTTACCCAGGTCAAAATTTTTGATGGTTTTCCTTTGATGGACCAACATAGCTTACCAACATAAGAACTTGTTTTGATGATTTGTTCATGTTGAACAACCATCAGAAATTTTCATCATAGTTTCTTAAAAATCAAATGTTGGAACGATCATGAACCACCATAACCCCAGTGTAGGAATTCGGACTAATTTATGATCGGCCAACATTAAAAAAAGAAAAAAAATTTTGATTGTATATTCCTACTGAACCAACAAGAATTATCATTAAACCATCATAGAAATGTATTATACCATTATAGACCATCGCAAATTTCCATCATAGTATCTTAGAAATCATATGTTAGAACGATCATCAACAACCATCATCCCAATGTAGGAATTCGGACTGATTTATGATGGTCCAAAATAAAAAAAAAATTTGTATATTCCTGAGAGCCAACAAGAGTTCGCATTTAACCATCATGGAAATGTATAGTTGGAACCATCATGGATTGTTCGTCTATGAGAATCAAGATTATCTTGATGGTTAACCATCATAGTATTAAAGTAGCATTTTCCATCATGGAATGATTGAAAATTTGTTGGCATGTCAAAAACCATGAACGCGTAATGGAAATTGCTAAATGATGGTGACCATCAAATGATGTTAGGCCATCATGAATTGCACTGAAAACAACATAAATCATCAAAATTTTTTGATGGGACCATCAAGATGTTTTACTCGGGTATCTCTTACCTTTATTTGAGATTTTTTTTTATTATTTCAGAAAAACAAAAGTTCAGTTATTTTTTGGGATACCCAGCTATTTTATTTGTAATAAAGTAACCCCACTACAATATTATAAAACTGCTTTCTATTTCTAGCATTTTTGGCTAAGCTTTGTGGGCATAGAATTATGACACAGTTTACAATAAACCTTAAAATTTACAAAAACAACCTTCAGTTTGATCGAAAAATAAAACTGAATTTTGAATTTGAAAATAATCGCTGCTGGTAGTACTGTTTTAAGGTAAACAATTTCTCTCCTTTTCTTAAGAAAAAAGGTTATAATATAATTTAAGAAAAGCATCACATGGTTAGTTTTTATGTGGAATAATATTTATATATGTAATAGAAAAAGAAGAACGATTAGGACTCCCTGTTCTAAATCGATATTTTTATAGTGTCAAAATTAGTTTCAAATGTATTGCTAACAAAGAAACATTTTTAAACTCATTGTGAAAATTGATGTGCTTATTATAGTGTCTCTGACATATCTTTCAAATAAAATATATCTGAAACTATGTAATACAACTATAGATGAATGTGCTATTTAGCATATTTTAATGTTGCTATAAAGTATTAATTTTAATTTTCGACTTCAGCATTGTTTCTACTTGAATTTGAAAGATACTCTGTAAAATTTTTTAAGATATACGACCAAAAATTATTTTTAAAAGCGTAGATTAAATATTAAAAATGTACTTTGGCTAAAATTTTAAATATATTATGTAGTGAAAATTATATATTTCTATATATGTTAGGGTAAAGTCAACTTATATGAATAATGTTTCGTTAGTAGTGTATTTAAAGGATGTTTTTTTGTTTTATACAACCTAATTGCTAACTTTTATTTTCTCATACAATTATTGTAGATTTTTGAAACTCAAAGCCTCACTAGAAGCCTAAAATATTAGGGAGACCAGAAAATAATGTCGTTTCGGTGCATTTGATATTGGTTATCACGATTTTAATTTTAATCAATAATGTATTCTCCCTCGTTGGCAACAACCTTTCAATGCCGGATTGAAAATGAATTAAAAAAATTTATTGGTTTTTAAGACTAAGGAATATTTATAGCACCGAAACAACATTACTTTTTGGTCCCCCTTATATACTGAGTTATCTGAAATTCGACTAGTGAAAACCCGATAAATATGTTTTATTACGAAAATAGCCAAAATATTATAACAAACAAATGAAATGACTCTTTTAAATAATTCTAAAGGATTTAAATAAGTTGATGCTTAAATGAAAGAAAGAATTGTTTCTGCCACAGTGTGAACTTAAGTTCTGTTTTAGTATCATTTTTTCTGTCTGTTTGGTCATCAATTCTTCTAAATTTGCAATTACTGGTTCTAGTTAAGAGAATGCAGAACTGAATCAGTGTGTATTAGAGATGTATCGAGTACCGCAATTGTCACGTACCTGGCCACATTTTCGTTACCTAGTTATTACCCTGACCCGGTTTTTAGTCTATAAACTCGGTACCTGGACCCGATTCCTTTTACCTTGTGCCGGATAACACTCATTTATGTTTGACACAACTATATTCAGAAATAGAGTAACCTTAAAATGCATGTAGTTTTGGAAATATATTCTATCAGTTTCTTAATAATTGAGCTCTAATAATTTTTTGTGCTCAATATATTTTGCAATTTTTGCACAGTTTTAATTCAAGATTTTTGGTAAAATGAACACCTTCGGGACAAAGAAATATATTCACTAAAGAGAAGGACTTGAAAATGCAGAAATCTAATGCTGAAATCCAAATTAGTTCAATACAAATTTAGAAGCAAGGAATGAGAGTGAATTAAAATGTATATAAAACTTTAGAAAACTTATGTGTGTATTACTCTCCTACTAATAAATCCAAACAAATTTTACCTGGTATTCGGGAACTGGCCGGGTTCTCCGGGTACCTGCACCCGGCAAAATTTCCAGACCTGGTACTTGAGCATTACATAAATTTTTTCTCTCCCTTTCTTGCCTTGTTTGGTTCTTGTTTTAAACTTAGAATAATTAAGTGATTGTGATTATTTTCTAAAATTCTTTGTGTCAAAAAGAATATTTGAAGTTTGTTTTACAGACAAAAATTTACTTTGTATTATACAAAATTAAAAAAAAAAAATATATTTNAAAAAAAAAAAAAAAAAAAAAAAAAAAAAAAAAAAAAACAGGAGATGCTTGGGTCCTTCTTATTAGTAAAGCAAGTCTACTTTAACTGTCACAAATTTATTTCAGATCTTGAGATGAATCCCTTTTTTTTTTAAATAAAGAAATTATAATTATTTTTCTTTGAATTAAACCTCTTTAAATCTACATACCTCCGTTAACCAAAGTTGATTCCAAAATGTTCTTCTTTTCCGCACACCCTTAGTTTTTTTTTCTTAATTTCAATGCGCAATAACGCATTGAGCCTATAAATTTAAAAAAAATACAAACGCACTTTTTGTTTTTTGTGTCTGCAAAAAATAAATTAATCATTTTATGTGGATAAC